CTATGTTGAGAATTTTGCTATTTTTGTATTTGCATTTTTTGCAAGAACTGTTTGGGGGATCATAGAGTAGAACCCAGACACTTGGTTGTTATTCTAGCTGGAATGAATATTCTTTTATTTGTTATTATTAATCTGATTCAATCTTGAGCTGGCTGCGATTGATTGGTTAGCTCACTACAAGAAAAAGCACCTTTGGCGACTAAATTTTTAGTCGCCAAAAGTCCATTTTTAGTCGCCAATAGTCAACTTTTTAATTTCCCTGACTAAATTTTTTAGTCGCTGGTTTTGTCGCGAAAACATGGTCGCTGGAGGTATTGGCGACTAAAAAAGTTTTAGTCAGCAAAAAACAAGTCTTTAGCGACCAAAGTTTTGGTCGCCAATAGTCAATTACACTTTTTAAAATTATACATTTAGCGACTAATCTTTTAGTCGCCAATAGTCAATGAATCGCCGACTAAACCGTTTAGTCATCAAAAGAAACTTTTGACAACCAATAATTTTAGTCGCCAAAGGTTGTTTCGTGGAAAAAAAAAATACTAACTTCTTTGCTTTTTCTGAGATTCAAACCACCAACCTTCCACATTCTAAATCTTTAACAGCACACTCTCTCCACTATGCCATTACAACACCACATGAATATATATGCAACATATATTATTTATATACTATATTGACCCGTGTTAATATAAAATTATATATATAAACATTACTATTTTTATTCAATATAATTTATGTAAAAAATAAATTATTTACTAAAAAAAATGAGAGCACTTTTGGCGACTAAATCTATTTTTTAGTCGCCAATTCTATAATTTTGGCTACTAATTATTTTTTAGTCGCTAAAAAAATTAATTCCCGCCTAAAAATAACCACTTTTGGCGACTAAACTTATTTTTAGTCGCCAAAACCTCCACTTTTGGCGACTAAACTGAATTTTAGTCGCCAATTGTACACTTTTAGCTACTAAATTTTTTTTAGTAGCCAAAAAGCTTCACTTTTGGGTACAAAATTTATTTTTGTCGCCAAAAACCTTGACTTTTGGCTACTAAAATTTTTTTAGTCGCTAAAACCCATATAATCGGCGACTAAACTGATTTTTAGTCGCCAATAACTACACATTTGGCTACTAAACCGTTTTAGTCGCCAAAAGTCTTCACTTTTGGCTACTAATTCCATTTTAGTCGCCAATTCTGCTACTTTCAGCGACAAAAATTCTATTTTTAGTCGCCAATTCTGCTTTTTCTTATAGTGGCTGCACCTTATAACTAATCTAGAATACCCAAAGATCAAGTTTGTTTGGGTGGATATGACCTTGGGATTAGACTAACAATCCAACAAAATACATAATTTTATGTTTGGTTAAGAAAATTGGGGTCTGAACTAATAGTTTTTCCAGACATGGAATCCTCCATATGGAGACTACTGAATCCCACGATTGAATCCCAAGATTGAGTGTGAGATACAAAATGGGAGACTAAGAAAAGATTCAAGCTAATTGGCTAAATTACAAAGTTGATAGGTTTTGTCAATCCCTCTTTATAAGACTGAGTGTGGGATACAAAATGGGGGACTAAGAAAAGATTCAAGCTAATCGGCTAAATTGCAAAATTGATAGGATTTTGTCAATCCCTTTTTATATTCTCTCTTCATAATCTTGGACTAATCCAAACATGGGATATGTGACACAATCCAAATGTATTGATAATTCTAGGACTAATAGTCCTAATGTTAATCTTATTTAATTAGTCTGCCCAAACATAGTCTTCAAGGGAGTTTGGAGTCACCTCTATGCCTCTTTTATAATCTGTACACCCTGCACATTTTTGCAGCTCAATGTAGTCAGAACAGAATGAGATATAAATTATGGATCTGGGAGACCCTTACCCCTTAAAGCAATAATTCTCTTCAGGTTGTTGATTGGAGCTATTTATTTATTTATTTTATTTGATGTGTTGATAACAGGTGCTGGAAAATGAGACGGGGAAGAAGTCATTTAACTTTTTCCAGGTTTGATCTCCGTGAGATTTCATTGTTCTGTTCTGTCTAAGTTGTTTTTCTTACTTCAGCGTGTGTGACAAATTTCTATTGGTTAAGTGGGAATTTGGTATACCTTGACATCTGGTCATTGGATTCGTTGTAGATGTAAGTTATACGTTCAGGATGTTATTTGGAGTTCGTGATGTTCTAATATTTGTTATGGAAATAAATTAGAAAGGAGGCAAAAAGGGTGGCAAGTGTGAGATATATTGTCTTTGATGGCTCTTCTAGAGATATTATAATTAACCATCCTACCATCCTGTTACCTTCGTGCTGTATTTGGATCTTAGATTTGTGGGGAAAAAAATTAATAAATAAATAAGAGAGGAGAAAAAAAAAAAAAAAAGAGCTTTTACTTTATTTCCTCACCTTTGGGTATTGTTTGGTTCACTAGAATGAAAAATAGAATGGAATGGTCATTTTTGCAATGCATTTTCGTTCATTTTTTAGTAACCCAAACATGAGAATCATGGACATTTTGATGAAATAATCATTTCGTTCCCCATTCATTTGTGTAAACCAAACACTATCTTACATGCCTAGAGCCAAACAAGTCATCCCATGCCATTTGAAGAGGGGAATCTTCTTTTGTGTGCCAATTATTTGACTACTCATATGGAAAAGTCTCTTATCTTGCAAGTTCGGTGTAGCTAAATTTCTAAGAACTTATTGTTTGAATACCAAATTAAATTGTCTTTGCTTTATCAATGCCACCACCAATGCAAATAAGGCTTAAAATTTGTGAAGAAAAACTTTTAATGAGATTAATAAGTTGTGGCGTGTTGGACAAGACATGAGAATCATGGACATTCTAATGGAATGATCATTTCGTTCCACATTCATTTCAGTAAACCAAACACTACCTTACATGCCTAGAGCCAAACAAGTCATCCCATGCCATTTGAAGAGGGGAATTTTCTTTTGTGTGCCAATTGTTTGACTACTCATATGGAAAGATCTCTTATCTTGCAAATTTGGTCTAGCTAAATTTCTAAGAACTTATTGTTTGAATACCAAATTAAATTGTATTTGCTTTATCAATGCCACCACCAATGCAAATAAGACTCAATTTTCTTGTGATGAAAGAAGAAAGCAGGCTAATCTAGCCGGGGAGCCATTTTCTCCAGATGGATAGGTGCCTTGCTACAAATCCTTACCATAAGAAGAATCAGATTTCGGACATGGTTGTTCAGGATTGCTTTGTGAAGAATGTTTATTACTCTTTAGTGGTTAACTATTTATTTTGAAAATGAACTATGGAAAGAACTACATGTGAAGATGTTTGTAGTTTTAGGAAATTTAGGAAAAAAAAAACTCTAGAGGATCCTTACTCAAGATAGAAAAGAAGAAATATTATTGTTTGGTTTGTTTTTTAGAAAAATTTTTGAGAAAAATTCTCTACAAACAAATTTTTAAAAGTAATCAAATAAAACAAATTTTTTCAAAAAAAATCTCAAAATTTTGTTTGGTTACTTACTTTTCAAAATCACTCTCTCTCATATACATCAAATCAATCACTTTTTTTAAAACTCTCTTTCCAAAATAATTTTCCAAAATCATTTCTGAAAAAAGGCAAATCAAACAAGTTTTCATACTTTTTATGTCAAAAATTACTCTACAAATACAAACCAAACACACTCATATATTTTGTGTTGGAGATTTTTTCAAAAAAAAAAATTGTTTCTTTGCCTTGTTATATTATTTTTATGAATGATAATAAGACCCCTATGCACGTAGCGCGTGGAGATCCAACTAGTGAATCAAAAAAAAAAAAAAAATCGTATTTAATAAAAATAAATCGCATATAATAAGTATCCTGATCTAACACCCACGCGACAGAGACAAACAGAAAGGCAAATGTGGTGGAGAGAAAATTTGATTAGGCAAGTAATTCCATTTTTGAAGTCTTGACTGGTTCCCAACTCGCTCAAGAATGAATCTGGTCAGGGCTTTTGATTAGGCAAGTAATTCCATTTTTGAAGTCTTGTCTGGTTCCCAACTCGCTCAAGAATGAATCTAGTTCACACACGTAAAATATGATTTTCAATTTGACTACAACAATAATACTTTATTGAAAAAATTACAAAAAAAAAATAAATAAATAATAAAAAATCAGAATTTGATCCTTTTAACAAAATAAAATGTTAACATTTTAATTTTGTCAATTTAAATTTAAAAATTTCAATTTAATTTCAATTTAAACCATCATTCTATTTTCGTTAAATAAAATCGATAAAAAATATATTTTAATCATTAAACTTAATGTAGGTGTATATAAATTGTCTAAAATACATATTTTTATTGTATTTAATGACTAAAATATTATTTTCCATTTGTTTCACTTAAAGGAATAAGCAAATGATTTAGATTGAAAACAAATAAAAAATTTAGGATTTAAATTGGCAAAATTAAAAATTTAGAATTTATTTTATTCTAACAGTTAAACTTTGGAGTTTTTTTTTTTTTTTTCCCCTTACTTTATTAATTACTGATCAGGTCATTCAATTAATCTAATCATTAGGAATGATATGATCTTGCTAGTGAATTACTTCTATATTTCATTAATCTGTGACTCCTTCATTCAAAGATATCTTAATAGGGTGAATGGAAAACTGCTTAAATACACTCAATTGTTGTTGAATTGATTACCAAAACCATTGAATTAAGTAAAGATTCCAACCAAAAAAAATAATATTATTGAGTATGCAGCTATTGTCAAAAATTTATAAATGCACTTGTTCATGACATATTAGCTCAAACTTACCTAGGAACATTTCCAACTCTTTATTTATTTATTTTTATAACCGGGTGTTCGGATCAACTTTCGCGCACCTCGACTAATCCCGGGACCCTGAAGTTAACGACCAAGCAAACCTCGAGCAACCCTAAGGGGTGACTCAATCCAACTCTTTATTTGAATACACTATTTTCTTTTAGGATCTTATTTCCCAATACAATCAGTGAGATAAGCTTGCAGTTTCTCATATTAAATGGTAACGAGGATTTCTGAACAAATGCAAATGTTATTACACAAACTTATCTATGACAGTTATTTCACAAGTTAAGAATCTATTGAGCAAACAAACACATGCACACGCACACAAAAAACAAAAAACAAAAATCTTAAGCATAAGTTTGTTAAAGTCTCCTTTTTTTACCTCGGTCCTGATAGAACAGATGGAAACAGTAGAGTACTAGCAGCACCGACACCCTCTTGGTGACAAGCAGCTACACTTGTTCTTGGTATCACCGGATTAAAGAAGGTATAATCCAAGTTGTTTTCAACATCCACAGAACCCTCCAAGACCTTAACCACCATAGACATGGAAGGCCTCCTGGAAAAATCACTTTGTAGACACCATACAGCAACCGTCATCATCTCCACCACTTCTGCTCCATGTAATTGCATTTCTTCATTGTCTTTGTCAACAATATCGATAAGTCGTTCCTCTTCTGCTTTTCTCTTAAATAGACTTAGTAAATGCATATCATCTTCAGACTGAGACCTATCCAAATTTTTTCGTCCACACAATATTTCCAGGATCACGACACCAAAGCTATAGACATCTGCTTTCTCAGTGATAATTGAGCTCAACCATTCAGGGGCTAAATAGCCTGGTGTTCCCCTCATCGTTGTTACAACTTGGCTTTGGTCCTTGTCAATTAGTTTTGACAATCCAAAATCAGAAATTTTCGCATTGAAGTATTCATCTAAGAGGATGTTTTGGGGTTTGATATCCAAATGAATTATTTTTTGCCTGCATTCCTCATGGAGGTAAGCTAGACCCTTGGCTATATCCATGATGATCTTTCTTCTGGATTGCCATCCAAGTGTGAGTTTTTGGTGCCTTTGGAAGATCCATTTATCCAAGGATCCATTAGACATGTACTCATAAACTAGAAGTCTATATGATTTTTGAGCACAAAATCCAATTAATCTCACCAAATTGACGTGATGAATGCTACCTATTGTCTGAACTTCAGCTAAGAATGACTTCTTAATCTGACAAAAACCATGGAGACGCTTCACTGCTGCTTTGGTTCCATCACCTAAAGTCCCTTGAAAGACTGACCCAAATCCTCCTTCCCCAAGCTTATTATTGAAATTGCTTGTCATAGCTTTCAAGTCTTCATAAGAGAATCTGGTAGGCATCCCTGATACTTGATCAACAGAGAACTCATCAAGCTCCTCAAATTCACCTTTATTTTTAAAAAGAAAAAGGCAAGAGGCAACCATAAAAAATATACCAAAGAATGCTCCGAGACTGGATCCTAGTATGATTGTGACGTGTCTAGGTTTCTTTAAAGGAGAATTTGGTGGTGAAGATTTTTGCACTTTAAGGAATATAGTAATGTTATCAAACCCATCCTCCGTGTTTGTAAGAGAAAATACTTCAGATAGTAATAAACAACCTCTCTTTGAATCATAGCCCCAATTATATGCAAACAAAGCGGCTCTGCATGAACAGTTTGTCAAGCAACTCTTCTTGCAATCCTCTAACTCTGTTTTTTCGTCCAAGTAACCGAATGTGTATTGTGAATAAACGTTAAAGTAACTAGTATTTTTAAGCTCCAAAAGGGTGTGATAATGAGAATGGTTACAAGAAATGGGTGTAACAAGGGAACATCCAAGGTTTGGTTGCCTATAAATTGTTTGCCTAAAAGTGATTGTTTCATTGTTGTTGGTTTCGTCAAGACAACTGCATTGCCCATTTGAACAGATGCCGTATTTTCCGCACACCATTGGATGCGCACACGCACCAATTCCTGATGTCTGCAGATCGGCCACCACCCCCCAATCACCACTTTCGCTCCATTCATAAACCTTCAAATTTCCATCAGGCTCAAACCTCATGAATTGAGTTGTATTTGCAGGTGCTACTTGGTTCCAGTTGAAGCTTCCATTCTCAAATTTGACATATTGATTCCCTCCTAAATAAGATTTATAGTAGGATTGGGGTGGATTGGATTCTACATAAGCAAACAAACCATCACCATGAATAGCAAGCGAATACAAACCTTGACTCCAATTTGATTCTGATGTGCTAGCAGTCAGCTTCTGCCCAGGAACCAACATCTGCCCAAGAAGTAAGGTGTCTGTTGGGTGATCAAACGACTGCCAAACCGTTGCATTGGTCTGATCGAAGAGCACAAGGTTGCCCTCTTCAGTCAAGTTTAAGCCTGAGACCGACTTTCCTGCAGTGTTTGTAGACCAAACGAAAGTGCCATCAGCATCTACTAAGATCAATTCTCCATCTTCAGTTAGTTGCAAGGTTGCGTTAAGTTTTACAGGATGGTTTCGATTAGCGGACCAAACTAGTTGTATTGCCCAGAAAGTTTTGTGATTGAAGTACTCTTCATAGGCATCCCGGATGACCACCACAGCGAAGAGGCAGGCAGTGTAAGTATCATTGCAGTAGAAGCCACAACCAATGCCAGTGCTTTCTCTAAGAAGGATGGGATTCAATACAAATGAGTCAAGGTAGTAATCAGCTGAGGAGGAGGGGGTGTTGATCCATGAAGTGGATAGGTTGGCAATTGGATAATACACAGGTTGGGGTTGGGCATTCACCAAGTATATTGCAGGATAGACATAGATCAGACATGTAAAAACCAGAAGAACAATAGCCCAACACAAACTCCTCTGTTTACCCATTAGCTTTTGCTTAGTTTTTTTTATTGGAAAGGCAAACAAAATGCCAAAAACAAAAGCCAACTAACTAGGAGTGATCAGATGAGATTAGATTGAAGAGGCTCAGGAGTAGGAAAAGTACATATTTTTCTCTCCAAATATTTTCCTTCTAATCATTAATAGCAGACACGCTTTTTGGAGCCAAGCAAGTTTCGAATTAATATTTCTCTAAATTTTCGTTGCTTTAGTTGTTTTTAAATAGTTTTTGTATTTTTTTAGTGAATTTTTTTCATATTGTAGTTACAAATTTTTATTTCTTAGATGCATTTAAAAAAATAATATATTTGTGGAATGGAAATTTTTTTTTTTTTACTAAAGACCGGGAAAAAAAAAACCAATGAAACTGTATTTGAATCATGGATTTGGGTAAAATCTTGGAAAAGTAAAAGAAAAAAGTGAGTGAAGTACATGTTAATTGTTTTATTTTCTTTTTTATTTTAAATTTTTATCTAAATTTATAATCCAACACAACATGAAAGAAAAATTTGACACCCGGTGCTACTGTGTTATTTGGTGCAACTTATTCTAAATTAAAAGTTGACAATCTAAAAACATAAGTCAAAAGTATTCCTCAATCAGCTTTTGAAAATCAATTTTTTTAATTTATATAAATTATTTTTACTTAATAAATTATAAATAAAAATTCCCAAAATAAAAAAACATATAGATAGATTAGATTGTCAGCGCCACGAAACAAATGAATGGAGAAGAAATTCTTTCATATTTTCAATGTTTAACATTCAAATTCTTATACAAAAGAGTATTTTCAAAAAAAAGGCAGATGGAGGTCACATTGCGTCCAACAAGGAAGATGAAGGTCACAAGGCGACCAACAAGGAGGATGGATACCTATTCTGAGGCAAAGGGGAAAACAAGGAACATGGAAGAAGGAAGAAAGCACAAATGCCTTCATTGTGTTTGTGGACAACCTACCAATCTTAGTGAATCCAAAGAGCCTCTTCAACCCTTTTACAAAGTTTTTACAAAAATAATATTAATAATAATCATAAAAATAAAATATAAAAAAATAAAGATTTGAACTTTTTAATAAAATAAATTAATTTTTAATTTTGTCAATTTAATTTTTAATTTTTAATTTTTTTTTCACTATAAATAATTAACTTATTTTTGTTACGTAAAACTGATAAAAAAAATATTTTTGTTATTAACCTTAATACAAGTATACATGAAAGATCTAAAATATATATATTTTTTTTATAATTCAATTTAATGACTAAAATATTAATTTTTATTTAATTTTTTAAAATTTTAAAGAGAAAATTATTAAAAAGTCTAAGGTAAAGATGGTATAAGACATTAGATTCAGTGGATATTGTTTTGTTTGTGAGAGGTCCATCATTTGTGAAATAATTTGGTGAGAAATCATTTCTTTGATTTTGAATGATATTTTGTTTTCAATTTTACCCCTTAATTTATTTCTTGACTTTTCGTTGACTATCTGTTCAAATTTATATCTTTCCGTTCAAATTATTTTCTATCTATTCAAATTTTATATCTATCTATTCAAATTTTTTGACTATTTGTTCGATTTTTTTGCCTTATCTATTTAAAATTTTCATTTATTTGTTTAAATCTATTTATCCTAATTTTATTATCTGTTTCTATCTGTTGAAATTTTGGTTATATCTATTCAAAATCTATCTGTGTGAAATGCCATCTGTTTAAAATTCAGATCAAATTTACAAACTTATCTCTTCAAATATTTATCTTTTGAAAACAAAAAGAGAGAAAAAGAGTTGAGAAAACAGCACCACCCATTCACAAATTACAATACAAATTATAAAATGACCATAAAAAAATACTTAAACGCTTTGACAAAAGCACTAAGAAAACAGATCCATTCATGAAAAATAAAATTATTACATGTAAAATCTTTATGACTAAAGTCCAAAAATTATCTTACAGGCTTTTAGGATGTTCCCACTCTTATGTTTCTTCTTTATCTTCTCCAGAGATCTTGTCTCCACTGTGTTATTCTTGTCCATCATTTCATCACCATCATGATCTGTTGGAAAATTTGATTTTTATAGACTTATTTTGGGCCAACTTTAAATCCAAATTTGAGTGGGGTCCACACGTCTTTTAAGGTGGGTCCAAAGAGGTGACTTGTTTCTTGCTGCATGGCAAGTCACACGGTGAAGATGGTTTGTCAAAACCATTTATGAGTGAATGAGAAATTGAAGTCGTTTTCGGGTTCGTGGAATGGACAATGCAAGAAGTAAAATCTGGGTTTCCTTGAAATGATTATCCCACATGGGAAACTTAAGAGAATTTATGTGTATATATAAGTTCTAGGTGACAACACTTGGGTTGGGCCTTAGGGGGCATCCCAATTTTGTAAAATGGAGGAGTTATAGACAAAGTGAACTTTGGCTAAAACCACCACACACACGTGCTGCTGCCGCCGCCGTCGCCGTCCACCGGCCGGTCGAGCCGTGCTAGGCGCGAATGTGGGTCGAGTCGGTTCTAACATTAATTTTTTGGACAAATGTTTTTCAAATACTTGCAGGAAAAATTATTTGAATTTCAAAACGAAATTAATTTAATTTTTGCACCAAATTTTTCTGTCCAAACAAGCTTCCACCGGTCCAATTTCCAACTATTTGAAACTGCCCAGAAGTTCTGAACAGATTCAGTTCTTCCCAGACAGGTTTAAAACTGCTACAGTCAGTTTCCAACAGATTAAAACTGCCCAGCAGTTATCTGTTTGAAACAGTGTTGAACCTATTCTGTCTGAATTCATATCTGTTCCAGTTTAAAATCACATATGTTTGGCCCTATACATTCCAGCAGTTTGTTGCACCCTGAAAACATCCAAAAAAAATTTGAAATTTCCATATTTCCTTCATGTTTTGCTTCTTTGCATAGATATATTCTTCATATTATTTTAGGAAAAAATTAGAGAGTATAGAACATAGGTTTGGTTCGCCGTATAAATTGTTTGGAGTGCTACTACAATTTGTGTGAAGATCATTGTATCAGGGGCGAATCTATCTTAAGGACAAAATGTCACGCACTCGACTTGATCTAAAAGTTGTATCGGTAATAAATTTTGTAAGTAATTTATTTATTTTTGTTTGATTTGTTTCAAGTTATTTATTTTATACAGAAGATTGTTCCAACAATCTTAAGACAGACCTTCGGAATTATTATGTTTATACATAATTTTTCATTTGTTTCCTTTTCTCTTTCTTCTTCTTACAGAAATTTTTTTCTGTGGTTTTACAAAATAATATTCTAGTTGGAAAAAACAAATAATAATAATATACTGGTGTCATTAACAATTCAGAATATTTATTTGTGAAGTTGGTCAGAAATTAATTTTGGTTTTCAGAAATAATTTCTGAATTTTCATTAATTAAAATTATGTTTTCAGTATTTTAATTTGTGATGTGTTACAAAAATATTTTTTTTCTGTGTTGAATTAATTTGTTTAAATAAAATTTTATTTTATTTTCAAATTAATTGGAAATAAAAATTGCAATTCTTGTTTCTTTTATTTTTACAGAATTTAATTATGTGGTTTTGGATTAATTCTGTGTAGTATAAAATTCTAATTATAATTTTGTTTTATAATTTAAAATTCATGGCTACTGAAACTAGTTAAACTATTGCTCAAATAAGTACTAGTATGATGGCTGCAACTGCTCCAACCTCTTTTCCTGTTGTGAGTGTACCGGTCAATCATGGTGAAAAACCAGAGAAGTTCTTAGGAACTGATTTTAAAATATGACAATAGAAAATGCTATCTAAAGGAGGGGAAACTAAGAAGTACAAGTTTAATGACAAGTGTTACATTTGTGACAAAGAGGGACATCAGGCCAAAGATTGCCATAGCAAGCGCAAAGACAAAGAAAGATCAAGCAAGAAGCCTACTCAAGCTCATATGACCGAAATGGACAAAATTTCCAATGGTGTTGAAGACATTAATCTTTCTGCTGTTGTTTCCAAAGCAAACCTTGTTGGAAACCCTAAAGAATGGTGGGTGAACACTAGTGCTACTCGCCATATCTGTGCCAACAAAGAGATGTTCACATCTTATTCTGTAGTGGACAATGGCTAACAACTCTTTATGGGCAACTCCTCGACTTCTAAAGTTGAAGGACAAGGAAAGATTATTCTAAAGATGACATCTGGAAAAGAACTCACTCTCAACAATGTGCTACATGTACCGGACATTCGCAAGAATCTAGTCTCCAGATCTTTGTTGAGTAAAAATGGATTTAGGCTAATTTTTGAAAGTAACAAGTTTGTATTTACCAAAAAGGGGATGTATGTAAGAAAATGTTACATGACTGATATTCAAAATGAATGTAATGACTGTTGTACCCTATGCTATTAATAAAAATACATCTTCTTCTTACTTGCTTGAGTCTTCAAATTTATGACATAGTAGACCTGGACATGTTAATTATGGATTTTTGCGTAGATTAATAAATATGGAATGTTTACCTAAATTTGACATTGATTTAAATCATAAATGTGATATTTGTGTTGAAAAAAAATTAACTAAAACTCCTTTTCATACAATTGAACGAAGTACAGAGCCACTTGAATTAATTCATAGTGACATTTGTGATTTTAAATCAATTCAAACTAGAGGTGGGAAAAAATATTTTATCACTTTCATAGATGACTATACTAGATATAGTTATGTTTATTTAATTTGAATCAATGATGAAGCTTTGATTCAATATAAGAATGAAGTTGAAAATCAACTTGGTAAGAAAATTAAAAAAACTTAGAAGTGAGAAAGGGGTGAATATGAATCACCTTTTGGTGAGTTTTGTAAACAACATGGAATAATTCATTAAACCACTACTCCTTACTCACCTCAGCAAAATGGAATTGCTGAAAGAAAAAATAGAACTTTAAAAAAAATGATAAATGTCATATTAATAAGTTTTGGTTTACCTCAGAACTTGTGGGGAGAAGTAATACTTTTTGCTAATTATATTCTTAATAAAATACTCCCGAAAGAAAGTGAATCAAACACCTTATGAAATGTGGCATGGGAGAGTATCATCTTACAAATACTTAAAAGTGTGGGGATGTTTGGCTAAAGTGGCTATTTACAGTCCTAAAAAGACTAAGATAGGTCCTAAAACTATTGATT